GGGCAACTGGATTTAAAACCAACAGCATCAAACTGGCCCCAGAGGAGCACTGGGCCCCGGTGGCATTCGGAGCGGAGGCTCTGCTCACCAAGTCATCCCACTAGGTCCAGGTAGTACCCGTCCTTTGCAATCCAGAGCACTCGGCACATCCTCTGGCTCCCGTCACGGCCAGGTCCTGTCCCTCTGGGCTCAGCAGCACCTTGCACCTTGCAAAGCAACGGGGCAGCTCACACTCCTTGGAGCCGTTCCCTTAGGCACGCTGCAAACTCAGGCAGGCGTGTGCTTAGGCTTTGCATCCAGGCCCACTAGAGGCGGCCGTGTTCGTGTGGGGTCATTTACACTTTAATGAAAGCTGAGATGATCATGTGTTCCCAGGGAGCTTTGGCATTGGGGGCAGCCCTGGGCAAAGAGCACCTTAACCCAGCTCTGTGTCAGTCTCTCTCCCTCTGCACCTCTGTCAGCTAGGGTAGGTGGCTTCACACAGCACCAACCCAGGCTGCTATTATCTTCCCCTTCCCCTCCTCCTTACACAACATACACAGGAGAGTTTAGGCTGGGAACGCAGCTCTTTAATCTTCAACAAGCCTTTGACAACCTGTCTCTTCCTGGCTTTTAGCTGTGTGAGCGCTACTCACTAATGGAGCATTAACCTTGGAGAGCGTCTGCAATTACTCCAACACTAATTCTGACAGTTTTTGGTGTATCTGTTTGTTCTTTTGACAGGCAAAAGGAATTTTTTTTAAAAAGCTGTTTGATACATTTGAGACCTTCTGTCCATAGTTTCTTTCTTTCTTTCTTTCTTTTTTTTCTTGGAGATTTGGAGGGGGAGGGAGGGAGGAGTTGAAAGCAGTGAGTTATGAGATACAGAGAGGCACAGTCTTCTTACAGCTGGATCAGTATGGGCAGAAGTCAAGATTACTCTCTCCCCCCCCTCCTCCGCCTTTAAGTGACAGAAGTGTTTGGTCTCTCCTGACCTCATTAGGGTAATTAGTAAACCTTTTGAAGCTGGGAGAATGGCTGTGGGAAAGCGAGGGGAGCAGAGTACTTTTTAAAACAGTGCAAATGCATTGGGGGCAGGGGTGAAAAATCGTCTCTAATCATTAATCACGATCTGCAAAGAGGGGGGAGCGAGGAATATGCTAGTGCTTTCTCTGCCCCCTGCTCTGTGACATGAAGTTGGCCAGAATCTGTCCCCAGCCTGCCTCCCAAAACAAGGATTTTGCATTAGAGTCTTGGCTACTTTGGAAGACTCCACAGATGACTGGAGAACTGGGAAGATGAAGAACAATCATATGGCAAAGGCACCATATGGAGGATACGTCTACACTACGAGTTTTCTCGGCAAAAGATATGCAAATGCGGGACTCATTTGCATGAGTTGCACTCTCATTTGCATATTTTCTGCCGATCCCTTTTTGCGCCGGGGTTTTTGCGCCAAAACAAGCAGTGTGGACGTTTACTTTTTGCGCAAAAAACCCCTTTTCTGCAAGGTCCTTCTGCCCCCAAAAAGGAGGTTTATGATCTTGTGGAAAAAGGGGTTTTTGCCGAGAAAACTCGTAGTGTAGATGTAGCCTGAGACTCTTGGAGGCAGGGGAAGAGGCTCTGAGGGAAGGACATCCCTGCCTCTCCTAGGAACAGCTGAGAGATCTCAAAGCATTGAAGTCAGCTAAGAAGCCACTCACCTATATGAGGGAATAGGAGCCTTGCCAATCCCTGAGATTTACAAGGGGTGGGAGTCTAAAAGCCCTCTGAGAAAAACTAAACTTTCCCTCCCATACACAAAATAGAGGGCAGGAACTCAACCACACCTCCTGCCTTTCATTTGGGAGTGTCGGGTGTGGAAACAGAGCCTCCCATGTCTACACTAGGCTATGTCTACACTACGCGCTCTTTCGGAAGCCCTGTCTTTCTCATTCCACGAGGAAGAAGGGCTCTTCCAAAAGAGGAGCTTTTTCTGAAATTTGGCCCAATGTAGACGGTACATCGTGGAGTGCAATTTACATACCTTTTCCCGATAAATCATTGTAGTCTAGACATAGCTGAAGAGAAGAATCGGTTTCTCGGCCCTTTGCTAGGACCATGACCCCAAGTACTTGTAAGAAAATGTTCCTAGGAGAACTAATACCTGGCATTTAAACTGATGGAGCCTTGGTTCCTGCTGTCAATTCTAGGTATCATTTGTGACATTTATATGACAACTAGATTTTCCCGGTGTTGCTGGGGTCCTGAACTCGGTCTTTGTTTTCTAGCAAATAAAATCAGTAAGCAGGCTGCCCCAAGAAGAGAAGCCAACACTGGCCCTCTCTCACTGCAGCAGCTTGGGGCCAGGCGAGAAGCACCTCTCCATGGCCACTGCAGCTCCAGTGGGCACAGCCAAGGGAGGGCTGCATGTTCCCCAGCTGTGGACAGGTCCAAGTTCATCTTCTCCCTGCGCTTCCCAGCCCGAGTGAGGAATGCAGCAAACTGGGCACCTTCCCCTCGCTTCCTGACAAAGGGGAATAGCCAGAAACACTCCCGTACAAATTGGGAGGCATGGGGGACCTTCAGCCCCCCACTCCCTAAAGGCTGCGTGGGGGGTGATAGGCTGGGGCATGCCCCTAGCCAGCCCCATTCATCTGCCTGGTGGTTCTGTCTTTTTTCTGTATGGTTTTATGAGATGCAATACCATTCCAGATGCAGCCCATTGTCCTGGCAAAACAAGGTCAGGGTTTGGTTGTAAGTGATGATAAGAGGGAGCTGCGTTCTGAATTTGCTGGCCCTAGCTCTTAGGCTTCGTCTACACTGCAAGGTTTTTGCGCAAAACCTTGCGGAGCGCCTACACTGCACGCGCGATCTTGCGCAAGTAAATTTACAGTAAAGCGTCGGAAAAGAGGGCTTCTTGCACAAGAGTTATTCCTCTCCCCATGAGGAATAAGCCCTCTTGCACAAGAGCTCTTGCACAAGAAGCAGTGTGGACGGGCAACAGGGGTTTCTTGCACAAGAAACCCCTAAGGCTAAAATGATCATCAGAGCTTTCTTGTGCAAGAGAGCATCCACACTGCCATAGACGCTCTTGCGCAAAACAGTTCTTGTGCAAAAAGCCTGCAGCATAGATGTAGCCTTACTGTTTAGGAGGAGTTCTTGAACAGCTGGACTCTCAGATGGACAGACAGATGCACATTTTTAAAATATATAGTAAGAAAACGGCTAAAAATGAGGCAAATCTGCAAATCCCAGCAAAATGTGCCCAGTCCAGAGAAGCCGAGCTATTGGCAGAGCAGCAGCCCCACCATGGGGAATACTCAGTCACCTCCACACCAAGTTTCACCAAACCTCAGTGCAGCCTTAGACGCACAGAATCATAGAATACTAGGACTGGAAGGGACCTCGAGAGGTCATCAGGAAAAATTTCAACAGGAGAACCCTGACTCCGCTTTGAACACGGGCAAAAGATTTAAACGCGGTACACGTAACAGCTTAAAAACTCCACTGGCAATAACGACATGCAGTCCACGGTGCAGTGCGGGTTTACACGGGGCTCTATATGTGGCCCACAGGTGGGTTCCTTTGAACATGGCCTCCAGTGGGAACACACCCCACAACAGCGAGTCAATAGAATGGTCTGCTGTTGAGATGCGCGGTGGTAGTTAAATTCCTGGACTGTCATTGCTCATTGAAAGTGCTGTCATAGGGGTGGAAATTGGATAAATATTGCGTTATGAATATCAGAAGAACTGATTTAAACGGGGCCTGCGTGTTGTGTCGTCTTGCCTTAATCTTTGTATTCATGCCTGTCAGCGTGAAAAACTATTTGCATGTATTTGCATGTATACACAACCACACTTAAGTTACAGCACATGCCGAGGGCCGCATCATTGCAGCCGCTGGGGCTTCCAAAGTTGAGTAGCCCTGCAACCGAGGAATGTATTAAGGCACCAGCTCAATACAGATGATAAATAATTATGGAAAATTGGTATTTGCAGGGGAAGGACACCACAACCTATGCAACTCGATACTATTGCAGACAGAGGCCGCTGCTTTGTAAAGGGGGGCCACTATCAGGTTGGTTTTTGTGGGGGGAGGGTTTAATCACTGTAATTTAGCTGGGTTTTCATCCTCCATCACCAAGGCATCTGAGCAACTTCCCCAAAAGCAGAAATCCCAGCTCTGTAGCAGTGCTAACAAATGCCACAACTACACCACTAATGCTCGGAAGAACTTCCACCTTTTGCTTCCTCACTTGAGACTCTAAATTAAGGACTGAACGGCGCTCTCAAAGAGAAGCTCTATTTTAACCACACATTACTGGGCTCAAGGCAGGAATCTCTGGTCTGCATTCTGCAGGAGACTAGAGGATCGAAAAGGTCCTTTCCAGCCTTAAATCTATAAATCAAGACAGTTTCATTTTCCGGTTCTGTGTGACCTAGCAGGAATCTGGGATAGGTGGGTTGCAAACAGGACAGGGAAGCATTTAAATGCCAACACTGGTTTCTGAGTGGCTCATAAAGTGTGCCACACAGGGACTACCTCCCTCTTAATTCAATCAATTTAAAACACAACCCAGGGCCAAGCTGTGCGTGTGGCCCCGATCCTGTGATGAATTCCATAGGGGCAGGCCCCTGAGTCTGTACACAGCAGCCAGCACAGTTAATGAACCACATGCAGAAGTGGACCGTCATTATGCCATTGATTACAATGAGATTTGAACCAGGTCCCTACTCCAGTTGTGTACTGGCCCATCACATGTTTCCTCTCTCAACAGGTATTCTTGGACCTGGGCTTTGGCTTGTGGCTTTGATCCAGCGCTGTAAGAAATAAAACACTCAAGTGTAACATCTGAGCCATTCATCTTGAGTTTAATTTTGGGGACATCTTCTCGGTTCTGTGTGCACGCGAACTCATTAGCATGCATCAAAAGCACAACAGCCCCTTTAATGTTTACTCCTCCTTCGATTGAAAAATTCCTTCTTCAATTAGCTGTGGTACTCAAAAAAATATTGTTCGGTTGCCAGTGGAGTTACGATCGTGTCTTTCCTTTATACTTTTATTCCCCAGTGCCCCTTGGGGGAAGGGGAGAGGGGAAGAAAAGCACAAACGCACCGAGCAAAACCACCTTCTTTACACATTTTTAAAAACAACAATTAACATTTCTAAGGGAGAGTCCTTTGTGGATGAAATGCCACTTCCAATCACCTTTCCGTCTTGCAAGGAAGAAAAATAAAGATCAGAAGGAGAATTTAGACTAAAAGCCAACTAAGTAAAGCTCATTTTTTATACAGAAGAGTCTTGCTAGCTGTAGAGAGGGGCTCAGTTGAGTGGAACAGACGAGACATCAGAGAACCTACAGCAGATTTCTGGATACCAAGCTAACATTTCCTAGCAGATTCGGTACTCCCTATTCATTGCAGGAGCGATGTTTGCAGCTGTGAACCAAGTAAGCACAACTATCCCACCTGAAAATATGCTCTGCACCTTGCCACGCAGAGGCCTAGACACGCAAACGGCTACAAGCACAACATTTAGGTGCATGCGGAAGCTCAGCCTGCAGGGGGCGCTAGACCACCCCAAAGTTGGGTAAATTGGCTAGCCTGACAGGTAATAACTTAGGGTACATCTACATAGCAATGCTATTTTGGGATACCAGAGTAACCCGAAATAGCTAACATCCTGCTTCTTTCAGGATCGCTATTCCGACATCCCCGTAAATCTCATTCTACGAGGCGTAAGGGACACTTCAGAATAGCGGCTTTATTTCGCAATTTGGCGCTGGGCAGCTATTTTGAAATAGCATCAAATTAAGATACGCAATTTGTGTGGCTCCAACTGCAGATCTTATTTTGGAGTTACAGTGCTGTGTAGACGCACCCTTACAGCAGCATAAGGCAAGCGTTTTCCTGGTCAATGTCTAAACACGGGCTCTTAGTACCACAGTAACTCTCCAATTTGAGGAGCTCAGGACACTCAATGGCTACATCTAGACTGACATGATTTTCCGGAAATGCTTTTAACAGAAAAGTTTTCCGTTAAAAGCATTTTCGGAAAAGAGCGTCTAGATTGGCATGGACGCTTTTCCGCAAAAGCACTTTTTGCGGAAAAGCATCCGTGCTAATCTAGACACGCTTTTGCGCAAAAAAGCCCCAATCGCCATTTTAGCCATCGGGGCTTCTTTGCGCAAAACAAATCTCAGCTGTCTACCCTGGCCCTCTTGCGCAAGTATTCTTGCGCAAGAGGGCTCGTATTTCCGGAAAAGCGGCTGATTTCTTACAGTAGGACGTCAGTGCTTTTGCAGAAATTCAAGCGGCCAGTGTAGACAGCTGGCAAGTTTTTCCGGAAAAGCGGCTGATTTTCCGGAAAAACTGGCCAGTCTAGACACAGCCAATGAGTATTAATACACTGACCCTAGGCACCCCTGAAAGAGGACTACTTTTAGGGCACCGACGGGGTGTCACTGGCCCAAGGCCATGCAATTGAACAGGAACAGAACCCCCCTCTCCAGAATTCGAGTCTTAATCACTGGACAATGCCGATGCCCATCACCAGAAGAAAATGAAACTCCAGAACCCTGAGCAGCAATGCTCCCAGTTGGGCTGCACGGTGCAGGGAACAGGGACAATCAGCAGGCTGGAGCATCGTTACCTTTTCTGCCACTGGCCTGCTGCATGACCCTCCAACCCACTTCACTGCTCTCTGTCAGAGAATACGGAAGGTACCCTCCCTCGTGGAGGGCTTCCAGATTTATGAAGAAAAACCTCCTTGGTTCCAGGATCACACTAGGGTAGGGATGGGCAGTAAGCACTTGCGGGCCAGACACGGTTCACCTGAGCATCTGTACGTGCACCTGCCCACAGCTTCCGTTGGCCATTCTCATTGGATGGGAGCTGCGAGGGGACCTACCTGCAGACACTCGGGTAAGTAAAACATCTGGCGGCTTGCCGGGGGGCTAACTCTGGCAAACCACGTCCGGTCCGTGGGCCGCTTATTGCCCACCCACGCCAGGGTTTGATTTTGCTAGCAGACCACACACCCACACAAACGGTCGTTTGTCCCTTCCGCACGCTTGATACATGCTCATCACGAAAACCACAGCTAGAGCCCTGCAATAGCAGGCTTCTGTAATTCTGCCGACGGAAGGAAGATGAAAAATAGTTTCCCCTCCGTAATACTGCAGGGACGGGGGCTAGTGCCTCTCTCCGAAGCACTGCTGTCAGTTTCAATAGCCTTTCACCAGACTACAGCAGAGCCAGAAGAGTTTACAGCCATTCCGAAAGTGGCTTGCCGTCCCATTTCAGACAAAGCACTGTAAGTTAATAGAAAATCAGGACAGACAAGTGTGCTGAGGCGTGACCCAACCCTCTCCCACAAGCTGTACCTCTCCCCATCCAGAGAACATACCAATGGGCTTTTCACACCTGAGTGGGTGTCTCAGGTATTTAGCGCTCCCATGGATATGTGGGAAACCTGTAGAGATTTCATCCTCCCCTCTACAGCCCTCTCATCTCGTACATCAGCCTGCTCAACACTAGAGCTTAAAGGTGCCGTTAGCACTGTTCTATCCCACCCTCACCAATGCAGTATCTGAGCACATGCCCTGGGTGCCTCAACTCTAGGACAACCATTGTCACTTGTGGTTCATTCTCCAAGCTCAGCCACCTGTAACAAAGTACCGCGAGCACACGCATTGTGTTCTGTCTGCATGGGGATTTTAAAACACGTGCGCTCACCTCGCACCTGTAACTGTTTAGGCAAGGCCGTGCTGGCAGCTGGGAGAGGCTGCCTCCTCCAGCTTATACCCAGCCATTACAAAATGGGGCCCATAATCCTACTTTGCTCTCCACCATAGAGCCAAGGAGTCTGCACAAGAGGCACCAAACCAACAAGTCTCTGTCTTGAATGAACTGAAACCTCTTTGGGGCAGGGAGCGGCCTCTTGTGCTTGTCGAGTGCCTGAATCCACGGATGCCAAATGGCACCAGCACCTACCGAATCGCACTGAAGCCCATGAACAGTGCTGGGTAGCCCTCCAAAGCTCGTCTCACCCCCAGAAGCTGGTCCAGTGAAATATTCCCTCCCACACCTCTCTCTCCACTAACAGACACGTTCAGTGCAAGACTGCCACCTAGCGGACTTTTATTTTTAAAATTCCACTGAAATTTCAGGTTTCTGGGCCTGGGCCTGGATCAATACCTCTGTTTGGGCTCCATCAGGTGTTTGATCGGCAAACTGCCCAGCAGAGCCATGGGGAATAAGGGCTGTCATGCCACTGAGAGGTACATGTATCAAAGGCCCTCTTCTCGTCACTGAACTGATGGGACACAAAAGTTTTAAGAAATAAAGTTGGCACGAAATTAGAGATGCCCCGAGGGGATTAGATATGCATGAAGAGGGGAGTGGAGAGACGAGGTGACCGGATGAAAAGGAAAGCCAGGTGCACAGTGCAAGGAGAATCTTTATAATGCACAAAAGGTTGAGACATAGAAGAAATGCCATTAGTGGAGAGGACTAAGGGCCGAGACAGAACCAGGCACAATAAACGGAGGCTGCAGGAGACGGCAGAGCACAGAGACCTTGTATTGAATAGATGGTGAACCAGGCGCCAAGCAGTGAAGGCAGCCCACCTAACCTTAACACTGCCCTTGTTCCAGGTGAGTCTGGTGCTCCTGCGGCCACAGGGGTGGGACGCTAAAATCATCTGTTTTGGAGGCTATAGGCTGCTGGGAAAAGGAAAGATGGGGCAGTGGTTCTCGGGATGAGGACCCATTTGTAAACGTCAACAGCCTGTCACAACCCAGTAAAGAACCTGGGGGTGGAGGCACTGGGGCGGTTTTGGGTGGATCCTGCCTGGCACTCATTCACAATGGGGATGCGGCTGGCTGGGTTTGGCTCTGTGCTGCAACCCCCCTGGGTGGCAGAGCCACTCAGGTTTGCCCCCCTTCTCTGGCTGGACCAAACTGGCACAAGAGGAAGGGTGACCTGGCTCTTATCAAACTTGGCCTCCCCTCATGGTAACTGGGCCAAATCTGAGATTCACCAGGACCCCGGAGATTGCAATGCCAGGAGCAGGCAGGCAAGTCCAGCTAGCCAGCCACTCAGGTGCTGCCCCACTACCCTTTGAAACCTTCTGACGCCATTTTGAGTCCCAACCCACAGCTTGAGAAACCCTGACCCAGTGGGCGGGAAGTGAGAAAACCTGCCTCAGCCAGACCTGCGGGTGAACGTTTGGGTCTGTCATTTGACCTACACTGGACCTCAGCTCCCCACCTCCAACAGGGACATGCTTCCCTAGCTCTTGGGGTGCCAAGGACAAAACCCAGGCACTCCGATTCTATGAAGATAACAGGGAGCAGCTAGACAAGAGAACAGCGCCCTCCCCTGCTTTAGCAAGACAGGGAGCCCAGGGATACTGGTATAAGAGTGACTGCATATGCTAGAAAGAGTGAGTTTGAGACAGAATATATTCTGGATCAGCCCAGCACTGGGCCCTCTGTTGCAGGCAGCCGTTCGGAATAACCAAGGTTACCAGATACCGTCGCTACAAGGGAGGAATCTGCTGAAATGCAACGTTTCATCTTGTTTGAAGATGTGAGGGGTGACCAAAGGGAAAGCAAAAGGGAATGCAAGACTGGCTGCTGTTTAAAAATAAACACAATCAAGCGGGGAGGGAACACTTTATGCACTGAAGTGCTTTTTTATTGACTGTCTAGCAATCTGGTCAGACCACAGGTCCACCTCCCAGCACTTCAGCGCTACAGGTCTCATTGAAGTCATGTGCAAATGGAACAGAAGTACAGCATTAACCGTTGAAAGCTGCAGTTGGTACCAATCTCATTAACGGCAGCAGAAACCCCAGATAATTTGCCTAGGAGTTCAGCGGGAAGCAGTTCGATGCCAGAACTGGATAACTTGATACAAAGCCCCAAAAAGACTAGAGAGAATTATGTAAACTTTGTTAATTAGCCTTCGGCTTCAACAACCCCAACAGTTTCAGGCAGACTATACTGTGGTTACCTGGGGCGCGCCCACTGGGCAATGTCTGCGTGAACATGACAGAGGAGCACACAAGGTTGGTCCGTGTTGAGCTGACACGTGGATGTCTTGCAAATCAGGCTCTTTCTCAACAACCGAGTCAGGGTCTGAAGCTCCAGGGTCAAGTGAGCAAACTGGGCAGGGCAATGGTGAGAGGCAGCAGCCAGAGAGAATGGCCCCTGGCACTCACTCCCAAAACACCACAGAGTAGGACTCATCAAATCCAGATGCGCTGCCAGGGGAACTCTGGGAAGCCCCCAAAAGCTGCAAAGTAGTCGACCAGGGCATCAATGTGGAACAGAAAAACATGCTTAAAAATCATTAAAACGAAGGCAGAAGGCTCCTCCCAGGCTGAACTCCTCTGTGTGGGGGGAACAAGTCCAGATTTAAAAGCCATTACTAGCAATAGCCCTGCACGGCCTATACTGGCCTCACTCCGGCTGTCCACTGCTAAGGCGTTTCCACTGCTTTCCAGAGCAGCTCGCCACAGCACCGATTCCCCCTTCTTCCCTTGCGTGGGCTGCAAGGAAGCAAAGGCCCAATGGAGCAAGAGACCCACACTTCCTCCCGCAAGG